TTTGGGAATGGGAGCTTTCCTCTCCAAACACTGCTCTGCCATCCCCAGGCGCCAGCTGCTGAACCACTGGGCAACGTGGGGTGCCTGCAGAAGGGTTCAGCCTCTGAAGGCTGTAATTGTCTGCTGCCTCCTAAAGCTGGGGAGCACCTTTTTCTTCTCCACTCCACATCCCTGCTTACAAGGTGCAGCTGCCTATGTTCCCCCATGTACCACACACAGCTATGGGCACACACAGGGTGAGCATGGGAGAAGCACACCAGGGTGACAACCAGGACATCTTCAAAGCAGCGCTAAGCCTGGGTATGGGAATAGGGTTGGGTCCAGTGCTGTGGGCATCCCAGGAAGCAGGGACCTATGGACACGCGATGGACAAGGGAAAGCAGCTTTGGCCCCAGAGGGATCTGAAGGGTGAAGCTCAGCAATGCGCTGGCCTGGCAGCTCCATGGCACGCATCTCAGACACCCTGGGACCCTGGTTCAGAGCCCTTTGTTGAAATAGACGGTCTCCAGCTGTGGGTCTTTCTCCCGTATCTGAGCTTGGACTTCAGGCTCCAGGCGACTCACCAGCATCGAGCTGCCAAAAAGACATGGATACAGAGGATTGAGGGGGGATACCCATCAGTGGCCTCAAACTGAGGAACTGCAGCACCCCATGGGGACATTCCCATGGCCCAGCACAGACCTTTGGGTCTGCACCACTGTGGGTGCACAGGGACGTGTGTGCACAGGGACATTTGTGCACACAGTTTCAAGCCTCTGACTGCTCAAAGGAGCAAAAACATCTCTTGGGAGTCAGTGAGCACAAGGAGATCACACATCCTCTGCCTGCACCCCATGCCCTGCCCCATGGGAGCCATATACATAGGCAAGGTGCTGACCTTACCTTTTCTGAGGGAAGAGTGCACAGCACAGCGGGGTCGCGAACACCAAGCTGCAAGGGAAACACACGGAGAGAAGTGGGGCTGTGTAAATCACCTGCAAAGCCTGTCCCCATCAGTGTGGGAGAACAGCAGTGCTGAGCAGGAGCCCATGGCAGGCTTGAGAGACACTGAGATGGAGCAGAACAGCTCTCAGCCCTAGGACCTTGTATCCCATCTCATCTGCCTTGGGGGCACCACCTTGGCATCTCCCCGAGGAGCTTTGTGATGGCTCTCACCTCCCCTGCCAAGCAGATCCCCAGCAGCACTGCCCCCAAAACCATGCTCAGTCTGTGGGCAGCAATGCCCATCAGCAGAGGATGACTTACCAGAATCCCACCAGGCCAACCTGCAGCGGAGCGTTCAGGTACGGGTACCGCTGCCAGGGACAGGGAGAGGTTGTGTCAGTGGGGTGGACAGGGTGCCAGCACTGTGGCAGGCAAGGGGTACCCCCTGGGACTACCAGGTACCTTCAGGAAAGCTCTCTTTTCCAGCACGTTCATGATCACCGGGGGGATGGCTGAGGCAGAGGGGAAGAAGATGAGCTCCAGTGCTCAAAGCCTTCCCATGGTTCCAGGGGCTGGCTGCAGCTTCCAGACACAGGTAGACAGGGGGCACTCACCCATGGCCGGGGCTGCCATACCGATCCGGGACACCACCACCTGGAAAATGGCCTTCTGGGCTGCGGCCGTGGACTCACCCAGGCGGTTCCCGTTCTCATCCGTGACTGGGATCCCCAGCTTGAGCTCCCTGCAGGGACAGAGGGAGTGAGTGGAGCCCAGTGTAAGTGGGTGGGGGATCAAGGGACAGGGCAGGGATACAGCACGTCTCCAAGGAGAGGTTGACATCCTCCTGTATTCCCCATTCACTGCCTGCATAGTAAGCTGGGAGGGCCTCAGCTGATCCCACATTCCCACTTGAGGGGTCCTCAACAGGGCTGGATGGGGAATTCACAGCCAGCTCAGCCAATAACCCCTTGCGATGCAACTGACTGCTTTCATCCTCAATCCAATGCCCCAAGGTGAGGGATGCCAGCAGGGCCAGGAAGGAAGATGGGGTGCCCCTGTAAGCCCAGGGCACTGCTTCCCACATCCTCCAACAGTGCCTGGTGAACCCCAATGTGAGCCCAAGCACCCCATCCCAGCCCAGGGGCTCACCTCTGCCTCATCAGTGGGATGTTGATGCAGTTGGCAGCAGCCACAGCTGCAAAAGGCACGTACCGGCCGATGATGGCTGGCAAGTGCTGGGGGGGCAAGCAGGGAGCATGTCACACAGAGGGTCTGGGGGCAGAGCTGGCTGTCCCCAGGTCTGCCACCATCCCCCTTCAAGACCAGTGGAGAAAACTCTTCCCTCCTCCCCTGCAAGTCCCAGATGGTAAAAGCTGCACAGCTCAGGGGATCCAGGGTGTCCCATGTCCCCTCCCAGCCCGGGAGGGAAGCCAAGGGATGAAAGAAGCCTGGAGAGACCCTGCTGGGGATGAAGAGGGGCTGGAGGGACAGGCCACCTCCAGAGCCATTGCTGGGGAGAGGAGCTGCCTTGTGTGGATGCCCCCAGGAAACCCCCTTCCTCCCTATTCTCCCCTGCCCCAGGTGCTGGGGTGAACCCCTGCTCAGCTCAGAGCTCAGGGAGACCCCACAGGGAGGGTCCCAGTGTCCCAGCCAGGGATGGCCAAGGGCCACCTTACCTTGGTGAGAGATTTGAGTCCCAGTGCTGTGACAACTGCCCCCGTGGTAGCACTCACATAGGCTGTCCCCAGCTGGCTGCAAGAGCAGGAGGTGACACTGACGAGCCAGGGTCCCCACATCCCACCTATAACCCCCCCCCCCCACAGAGGAAGGGACAGCATGCCCTTCAACAGCATCAGTACACCACTAACCCTGGCAGCCCCACTGGTGTCCATCTCTGACTGTGCCAGGTCCCCATCATCCCATCTCACAATCCCCACCATTCAAGAAGCTATTCAAGAAGCTATGTCATTTTAGGGCCCCCAAGGCACTGCTCAGAGAGATACTTACCTGGGGGTGATGGGTGCATCCCCGCTGCGGTTGGTGTAATTGACAACAGCGTTGAAGGACTGGTTGACCCACTGCCAGAACAGCACGGCCGGCGTGGTCCTACCAGAGAGAGGAGGGTGCTGGTGGCACTGGAGGATGCCACCCATGCTCCTACATGGGATGTGCGTCCCCATCTCGTGCAAGGGCCAGGGGTGGGGGGAACCCCTCCACCCTACCTGTAGAAGGTCAACATGCAGCCAGTAATGGTCATGTTCATGGGGACCTGGGCAGACATGCGTCCCACGAGGAGCATCTTTTCGCCCGTGTCCGGGTGGAAAGCTGAGTCGTAGATGTACTTTGCCTTCCAAAGCTGGTCCTCTGTCAGCCCTGGGGGTATCCTGCCCGCCCTGCCAGGTAAGGGTAGCACCTGTTGGGAGACCCTCTGCCAGCACCCACCTCCTGCCTGCCCTCCCGCCCCATGCAGGGCAGCTGGGAGATGCCTTAGGGACCGGTCAGGCAACCTGGGGAGCTGGCTTTGGAAAGGGTGGGACAGCATCACGCCTGTTCCCACCCCGAGGAATGGCCCCAGGGCTGTATTCTGTCAGGGAGCCTGGGGGTGGTGTGGGGCCTATGTGTGGGGGGTACGTGTGGGTCATAGCCCCCATTTGGTACCTGTAGTCCTCCACCACCCGGCGGGCCTCCTCCAGCGTGGCCCCCGAGAGCAGCAGGTTTCGGGGGTCGGTCACCATGAAGAAGTGCTTGGCCCGGCCCTGGAAGGTGCTCTGGTCCCAGCGGGGCTCACGGATGTTGATGGTGGCAGGCAGGGACGGTGGCATCTTCTGGGGTTGGAGGGGCAGCGCTTATGTGGGATGTAGTACCCATGTGTGTTCCCCCAGTGCATTCCTACCGGAGCTCCGCCAGTCCGCGGGGACACGGGGCAGGGAATGGAGACCCCCTTTTCAGTGGAGCTCAGTGGGAACCGCCCCAGCACCCGGAGCAGCTCGTTGGTGCGGTGACCCCATCATGCACCGCCCTCACCCTGCAACCCGGCAGCGGGGACCCCCAGGTCCGCGCACACCACCCAGCCCGGCACTCCCCCACTCCTCCAGGGCCCCCGGGCCACGGGTGAGGGACGGGGACCCGCACGCTGCCGGGGACCCGCGGGGGCGCTCAGAAGAGCTCGGGAAGGAGAAGTACCCCCCGGAAGGCACCGGAACACCGCTCGGCCCCATTTCCACGCCCTTCCCCGCGAGAAGGAGGCCTCTGCTCCCACCCCCCGGGCCGAGCATCCCTCCCTTCACGCGTACCCCCCCCCCCCCAACCGAGCGACCCCGGCCACGGAACCTCCCCACAACCACTCACGGCTTCCCGGGACGCGCCCGCGCCGCCACCGCCCCGCTCCGGCCCGGCGCGCTGACGTACGCAGCCGTCACGGGATGGGGAGGGCGGCCCTGCGGAGGGGATCGGCAGGGGTTGCGCTGGACCGGGGCAGCCGCGGGGGGGGGAACCGGTACGTGCCCGGGCACACGCGGCATCTGCCCCCCCGCAACCCCCCAGTGCCGGTGTGCGCCGGGGGGGTGCCGTAGGGCGGGACCTGCCCCGGTAGGTTGGGGGGCGGGGGAAGCCCCCGCCCCCGTCCCCGCCTCCCCTCCTCCTGCCACCGCGCATCACCTGAAACCGCAGCGGTGTCGGGTTCGCGGCGCCGGGCCCCGATGGGGGGTCAAGGGCAGCCCAGGGTGGGCACGATGCCCCCCGGGGAGAGGGGCACGGGGGGACACCGGCTTGAGTAGCGGGGTGAGCAGGAGGGGTGACCCGTCGTGTATGTGTGTGCCCTCCCCGGCCGTGCCTCAGTTTCCCCCGTGTGCCTCGGGATGCAGAAGGGTCTCCGGGGGGGCACCGCGTCCTGCGCCCCACAACAGCATCGCTGGGGATGCACCCCCCGGACCTCCCCACGTCGTCCCCGCTGGGGAAGACACGCACAGGGCTCCCCCTCCCCGTTGCGAGGCCAGCCCCTGCCGCCCTTGATTGACAGCTGCCGCTCTCGATGACCGCACCGGTCCCGCAGGGACAGCCAATCCCCGCGGGCGGGGGGCGGGAAGCGGCGCTGTCTCCCCCCGTCCTCTCCGTCCCCCCCGCTCGCAGGTGTCTCTTTCACCGGTGGCACCATGGGGACAGGTGAGGAGGGCACGGGGCGGGGGAACCGGCGGCCGTGGCGGGGTCCGCAGCCCCCCTCCGGGGAGGGTCAGTGCCGGATGGTGCTGGGGAAGGGGGACAGCGGCGGGGTCGCCGTCGGGGGCTGGCAGGCGGCGGGGACACGAACGTATCTCGCTGGGCGGGCCATCACTTATTTATTGAGGTCAGGCTGGGGCGAGCAGGGGACGGGGCGGGGAGGACGGTGGAGGGGCCGTGGTGGAGTTTCTTCCACCCCACGCCTGGAAAATCCCCTCGGGAACAGCATCCCCTTCCCCGCAGCAGCTCAGGGATGCGGTTCCCCCTCCCCTGCTCCTGCTGCAACCCCTCCGCAGGGAGGGCCGGCCCTTGCCCCATCGATGGCGGTACCCAGGAGCCCTGCAGCAGGGTCCTAGAGCGAGAGGGGACAAGGCTGGAGAGGGGGTCACGAAGCTCCTTGTCTCCCCAGGCTGTGCCGCTGCTCCCGGGACCGGTCCTGCCAGCTCCGGGCACCCACGCCAGCCGTCCCCGCTATCGCGCTGCTAGGAGGGAGCAGTCCCGAGCCCGGGCATGTGCTGCTGGAATATGCCATGTCCCTCCCCGGCCGGCGGGCAGCCCCAGCCCCGTGAGGACACAGCCAGCCCCGAGCCGGACACCGGGACACCGGGGTGCCCAGCGCCGCCATGGCCCAGGGCTGGGATGCGGAACTGTCGGGGATGACGGCAGGCAGCCGGTCATGGAGCTCCAGTAGCGAGGCCAGCCTGGCGCCCCGCTACCTCCTCAGCAAGCAGAGCCGCCTGCTCAACGGGACCACCCGGGGCAGCCGCACCGCCTCCCCCATGGGCCGTGTCATCCTCATCAACACCCCCATTGAAGGTGAGTGGGGTGTCCCAGCCCTCTGCCCACTGTATGGCCAGAGGGCCTGGACACCTGAGGTTCCCGGGTCTGTGGGCAGGGAGAGGTGACCTGGGACTGGGGACATCCCCAGCAAGAGAAACCACCTCCTGCTGCTGCTTGGGTGACCCATCCTGTCCTCACAGCCAGCAGCAACGAGAGTGACATCATCAACGCCATCACGGTGGAAAAGAGTGTGGATGGCAAGCTTGGCTTCAGTGTCCGGGGTGGCTCCGAGCACGGGCTGGGCATCTTTGTCAGCAAAGTGGAGGAGGGCAGCGCTGCTGGTAAGCAGGACAGGGTGAGGGGCACTGGTGGGGACAGGCATGTGCCAGCAAGACCCTCCTAGGGAGCTCCCAGGGACATGGTGCCACAGTGGTGGTGCCACCCTTCACAGTGACAAGCCCCTGTTTGCCCCTGCTGCCCCTGTCCATGGGATTTTCAGGCTTCCCACAGGGAACAGGACAGGAGAGAGCAGCACCATGCTGATGGCTTTGAACTCCATCCCCGAGCCACAGCAAGGTGTTAGCCCCCCATGCCTAGCATGGCCTCAGTGCAATTGACAGGCATCCCCAACTCTGTTCTCTTGGGGTCCGGATCAGGTTTGGGACACATTGAGGGAGAGGACACCAAACAGGGGCATCAGCGTGGGGTCAGGTGTCCGGCTGAGCTGTGTGTCCCTCACAGAGCAGGCTGGGCTGTGTGTTGGTGACAAGATCACAGAGGTGAACAGTGTGAGCCTGGAGAACATCACCATGAGCAGCGCCGTCAAGGTCCTTACTGGCAACAACCGCCTCCGTATGGTGGTCCGGCGGATGGGCCGTGTGCCGGGCATCAAGTTCTCCAAGGAGAAGACGGCGTGGTGAGCAGGGCAAACCCCATGCCAGCAGTCCAAAGCCCAGCCCCATGGAGGGCATCGTGGGGAGGCTTGGTGAGGGATGGTGGGGGACAGGGAGGATCCCAGAGCTGGGGGACCCTCAGGGTGGGAGGGCATTAAAGGTATCTGACAAAGATGGAGACAGCCCAGGGTGAGGGATGGATGGGATAGAAAGGTCTGGAGCAGGCAGGGTAAGTGCAAGCCCCATCCTTAATATCCCCCATTCCCATCACTCTCCTCCACTGGGTGACACCAATGAACCCATCCTGCTGGAGGACAAGAGCCTGGCCCCTGAGCTCCCCCACAACACTGTGCCTGTGCTCCAGGGTGGACGTGGTGAACAGGCGCCTGGTGGTGGAGAAAAGTGGCTCAACTCCATCGGAGAGTGGCTCTGAGGATGGGCTGCGGCGCATCGTCCACCTCTACACCACCTCTGATGACTACTGCCTGGGCTTCAACATCCGCGGTGGCAGGGAGTTTGGCCTCGGCATCTACGTCTCCAAGTACGGCCACCCTGGAGGGCACAAGGGGGATGTGATGCTCTGTTCCCCACTGTACCCATGCTGGGGCTCTGCCCCCCTCCCTGGCTACCACACCCATCCTCATAAGACTGTGGCTATCACCTCCATGGGTGTTGAAACATGGAGCCTGGAGGTGTGGGACAGGAGCAGGGCTCCTGTGAGGGCTTGGACCTATCCTGTTCCCCCTTCACTGCCCTAGGGTGGACCCTGGGGGGCTTGCAGAGCAGAATGGCATTCGGGTGGGAGACCAAGTCCTTGCAGCCAATGGAGTCAAGTTTGAAGACATAAGCCATAGCAAGGCAGTGGAGGTGCTCAAGGGGCAGACCCACATCATGCTAACCATCAAGGTACCTCTGCCTGGCCCCATGGAACCCCCAGGTGAGGTGGGGGGTTGGTGTGTCCCCATGCTGGCACTGCCCCAGCTCAGTCAGGCGCCTGTGGGGCTGGTGTGGCTGCCAGCTGGTTGGGTTTCAGGCGGGTGGGAAGGCAGGGGGATGCATTATTCATGGCTGGCACCGGATCGGGTTTGCCCGGGACGGCTGGTGTGTGCTGACCCCTCGTCCTCTCCCCTTGTGCCTAGGAGACAGGCCGGTTCCCTGCCTACAAGGAGTTGGTGGCCGAGTACTGCTGGCTCAGTCGCTGTAAGGGCAACACTGTGCGGGTACTGGCAGGGGTACCGGACTGGGGGCCCCATACAAATGGCGTCTGGCCACCACGGGGAGGGAGAAGGTCCACATGCCATGGGGTCCCACAGCCTTGGAGGGGGCATGAAGCTCCCTGTGGTATGGTTAGCATCCCACACTCCTCATGGGCTTGCAGGGCCCCTGTCCCCCGTCCATGTGGACAGCCATGGACAGCAACCCTGTGGTCCTGGTGATCCTTCAGGGTCCTGCATGTTCCCTGTGCCTGGAGCCTGCTGGTTCCCGTAACTCTGTGGGATTCCACATGTCCATTGCAGGGGTCACAGGAGTCCCTGTGGCCCTACAGGTCCCCACATACCCACTGTGCTGGGATGCAGAGCTCCCTGTGACCCCACAGCATGTCACCCCATGTCCCCACTGTGCCTTCGCAGTGACCAACGGGCAGCTGCAGCAGCTCTCTCAGACCTCAGAGACCAGCTCCTCCATCTCTTCCTACTCCTCGGGGCCAGTGCCAGGGGTGGTGAACGGGATGGGGACAGCCACCCCAGGGCCCCCTGCCCGCACCGTGGACGTGGCCATCTCCACGGAGGACGGCCCGCGGCGGAGCTGGGTGCGGGACCGTGCTGAGCGGGCCATGCAGACCGAGCCAGCCGCCGAGGTGCTGCCAGAGATGCGGCGCACGGTGCGGCCCCCCGAGCTGCTGCGGGACACAGCCATCCGGGGCCAGGGTGCCCGCGAGCCCCCCGGTACCCATCCACGACGGACCTTTGCCCACTCGCCCAAGACAGCCCTGCTGCTGGCACTGAGCCGGCCCCGGCAGCCCATCACACGCTCACAGAGTGATCTCACTGTTGCTGGTAGGTGCCAGGCCATGGCCCTATCTATGAGTCTTGCCCCTAGCTGGGGTCCCCTCCAACCCTGCACCCACAGCCCTGGGAGTCCCACAGCTCAGACCCTGTTCCTGCTTGACCATCCTGTAGCCCCTGATGCACAGACACCTGGCTCCTGCTCCTGGGCACTCAATACCTCCCCCAGCCCATCTTGATCTCTGACCACCAGCCCTGGCCATCCTATAGTTCTGAGTAGCCCCAGCGCTGCCCCTGGGGCTTAGCAGTCCAGCCCCATAGCCCCTGAAGACCCGCTGCACCCCACAGCAGGACTCTCTTCCAGTCAATGCCCCCAGTAGCCCCTCCAAACATCCCCCCCCAAGTTCCCGTTAGGGTTGGCATCCCCTGGCCTCCCTATTCCAGCCCTCTTCGTCTCTGTTCCCAGAGGAGAAGCGGAAAAAGGAGAAGCCAGAGGGACAAGGGGCCCGGGCAGGGGCCCCAGGGCTGCATCGCTCCAAAACCCTCGTCAACCTCTTCTTCAAGGGGGGCCGTGCCACCAGCCAGAGCTGGGCCCCTCCCAGCCAGGAGCAGCCCGCTTCCGAACGCAGGGCACGCGCCAAGTCCCCAGGGCGCTCCGACGGGGACAGAGGTACCAGACTGGGGGACAGGATGGAAAGGGACCCAACCATGGACTGGTTCCGCCTTCTGTGGGCACTGTAGCCTTACTGTGGCATCCTTGGCACGGAGGGGGGGGCACGGGGAGGATATGTCCATTCATGCAGCTTTGGCAATGGGCAGCGATGCTGCTCCCCCTCGGCACTCACCCCTCTCCATCTCCCTTGCAGTAGGCGCTGTGCAGAAGTTTGTCATCCGGAGCCTGAAGCGGGGTAACGGGGTGCCCGTGTGCCCAGGGGGTGCTGTGGGGCAGGCTCTGCATGTGCCTGCCCCTGTGCTGCATGTGCCTGATTGGTGTGGAGCAAGCCATTAGGGTGGAGGGCTTTGTGGGGTGACCAGGGTGGTCCCTGCCCCTCTGGCCATCCCTCTTTGCTGTGCCCCCTTAGAGAAAAGCCGGCGTGCCAGCATCCTAGGCCCCACAGGCATTGCTGCCCTGCAGCCCAATGGCAGCGACCCCGAGGCACGACTCACACACATCCAGGACACTGCTGCACGCCTCCTGAGCCCTGACGAGGTGACGGCCGTGCTTCGCCACTGCTCCAGGGTATGGCACCGCGGGCAGAATGAGCAGGGCAGTGCCAGAATCCCAGGATCATCCCCAGGCAGCTCCTGCATCCCGGGGGCGTTGCCATCAGCACTATGTGCCCACGTTAAGCTCTTGGAGTTAAACTGAAGCATGGGAGGGGTGGGCACCTGTCTGCTGACACCCTTCCTGCACCCACAGTACCTGCATGAGGGCAGCGTGGAGGATTTGGTGCGGCCACTGCTGGCTATCCTGGATCGGCCTGAGAAGGTCCTGCTGCTGCGGGATGTGAGGTGGGTGTGCTGGGGATGTATCCTGGGGTACCCCAGTGCTGCCAGCTGGGTGATTGACCCAGTTTCACATACAGTCCAGCCCTGATCACACCCCATCTGAGAGGTTCCCACAACCTGTCTGCCCTCTTTACCCCGGCAGGAGTGTGGTGGCTCCCACAGACCTGGGCCGGTTTGACAGCATGGTGATGCCCCTGGAGCTGGAAGCCTTTGATGCCCTGAAGAGCCGCTCAGGTACTGCCCGGTCCCCAAGGGACCTTGGCTGGGGGCAGCAGGCAGAGGTGGGTACCGGTGGGGGCGTGACTGGTGTCTCTGCTTGAGTGCAGTGCGCTCACCTGCCCTGCGCCCAGCTCACCACGATGTCCCTCCCAGGAGACACCTCATTACACCAGTGCCTGGTGAGTGCCACCCCATGGGGTCTGCCTGGCCTGTGGTGGGGTCTGCAGGCTGGAGGGGGTACAGGGGCAGTCTGCAGTGGGAGAAAGGGAGCTGGGATGCTTGAGTGCAGGGGGTTGCAGGGGAGAGGGCATTTGGTGTCCCTAGATGCTGGGAGGCCCCAGAGTAGCAGGATCTCTGGTTCCTGGGTACCAGGGGGAAGGAGACACAGTCCCTGCAGAGAGATGGGGTGTCTGGGGGCTCTGAGGTGTCAGAGGTCCTAGGGAGGGGAGCTGGGGTGTCTGAATGTCCCTGGAGGAGGAAGATCTGGGGCCCTTTACACCAAGGAGGTCCATAGGTGGCAGAGGTCCCCAGGCTTTGGCGTTCCCAGGGGATGGCAGGGGTCCCAGAAAGCTGGTCTATGGGGTCTTGGGGGAAGGTCTGAGCCCCTCTTGTTGCAGACTATCGCGGCGGGTTCCTGCTGAAGCCAGTGGGGGCCCCAGATCTGGAGGGAGCCGAGGGGCTACAGGCGAGCCCGGGCCGGCCACGGGCCTCTGCCAGCCCCCGTCGGCTTCACCCATGCACCTACACCCCGCTCCCCGACGTGCCAGTGGATGCCTACGCCAGCACCAGCCGGCCCCTGGCCCCCACTGCCCCCAGGCCTCCCAACTGGCTGCTGGCTGAGGCCCCCCTGGGCGAGGGACATGGGCACTCACGCAGCTCCCGGCACAAGGAGGCCTCCGGCATGGTGCCCGATGGGGGGCTCGAGCTGCTGGGGAAGGCTCGGAGAGCACGCCCCCCCCTTGCACCTCTCTTTGGAGGGCCAGGGGGTGAGGCAGAAGCTGGGGTGGCCACCAATGGCCCTAGGGATGCTGGCAGAGAGGAAGAGGAGGAAGAGGAGGAGTATCAGCTGCTTACAGTCACCCTCTCCAAGCTGAAGCACTCGCTGGGTAGGTGGCACATGGGTAGGAGCCTAGGGGTGGGACTCTCCTCCTGGTACCAGCATCACTGGCTTGCCAGGCACCCCATTTAGGGGGCAAAGCCCCAAGCCCTCCTCCAAAATAGAAGACGAGAAGAGGAGGTGCCTCTGCCCCAGCCCCTCATTCGTGCCCAGGGGAGGGTGTCCCATGCCCGGGAGTGGGTCGCAGTCTACCTGGTGTGAGGGCCTCTTGGCTCCTTTGCAGGGATCAGCATCTCTGGAGGCATCGAGTCACGGGCACAGCCGGTAGTGAAGATTGAGAAGATCTTCCCTGGGGGAGCTGCCTTCCTCAGCGGCATCCTCAAGGTATGGGGGGCACTTGAGAGCACCCAAACACCCCCATCCCATGGTGCTGCTGGGTGTTGGCAGTGCCCTGGCAGTCCAAAAGCAGCTGTGCTTCACTCCACTGTCTTTCCTTACGGGGTCCAGGCCGGTCAGGAGCTGGTGTCAGTGGATGGACAGAGCCTGCAGAACGTCACCCACCAGCGGGCTGTGGACATCATCCGCCAGGCCTACCGCAACAAGGCCAAGGAGCCCATGGAGCTAGTGGTGCGGGTGCCTGGAGGTGCCCGAGAGTGATGCTGTACATATCCCCCTCTTCAAGAAACCATCCTGTGCTCCAGAGGCCAGTCTCAATGCAGCGAGAGGGTGCAAGAGCCAGACCTGCCCCACAGGCATGGGGAAGCTGCTCGCAGCAGGACCTGAGGTGGGGCACAACTGGTGACATAGAAGGAGGATAAACAGCCCCTGACCCTGCTCTGGACACAAAGACACAGCCCTGAAAAAAACACAGCCAGGGGCTTGTTTTTAATCAGCGTTCCCGGGTGGTACACGGGTGAGCCAGGCTCTGGGAACAGCACACCACTGAAATAAAGTACAACACCCCCCACCACCACCACCGGAGCCAGGGGCGACCAAGCCAGAGCTGGGCACAGCCAGGCTTTTCCTTTGGTTTGACCCTGCTGGGTGGCCAGCTGGGACCCCCAACTCTGCTCACCCTAGTACTGTGCCCCTCTCCCTGGCAGGCTGGGCATTGCAGGGGCATGGGCCCAGCTTATTCTGGGGGGAGGAAGAACAGGGGGATGCTGGGGGTGAGGGTATGGGAAAGGCACTGAGGGCAAGGTTCCCTGTGGCAGGGGTGATGGGGGCACAGACAGGTGGGGTGTGAGCTAGGAAAGGGTGATACGTTTTGGTAGGGCCTATAAAAATAGAGTTATTTAAAATGGCACAGAAATGAATCCCCTGACACACACACACACACGGGAGGTGAGGGGGAAGCTGGCATGGGCAGGGATGGGGCACACACGATCTCCTCTGGAAGTGGCTGGGTGGCAGTGCCAGTAGGGATGAGAGGGAGGGGGCAAGTCAGCCCTCCCTCTGCCCAAGGTGACCCTGGCTGAAGCCAGCACTGCTAATCCCTGTGCTCTAAGAGGATCAGCAGAAACCAGCTCCCGATGGCCCCAGTGCCAGGACTCAGCACCCACCTGGTTCCACATCTCACGGGCACCCACTCAATGCAGTGGGTACCAACCCACCCTCACCCCAACAGCTCCATGTGGGAAGGGGGCAGCTCCTTCTGTCCCCTTTGTCCCCTCCCAGTATCAGCAGTCTCTGCAGAGCCAGAGGGAGAGCAGGGATCACCCAAGCTCCCCAAATCCCAGGAGCTGGAACCCCCTCACCCCTCCGAGCACAGGGTGAGGGAAGGCAGTGTCTCAAATCTCTGTGGCTGTGATCTCCTCGAAGGGTGGGTCAGGGCCAGGGGGGTCACAGTGCTCAGGTGGGGGTTCCTCGCCCTGGAGCCGGAGATGCTGGAGCCTCTGCTCAAGCCGCCGGTTGCGGCGGTACATCTGGATGTAGCTGTACTGCAGCTGCTTCTGGTAGCGGATAACCCGCTCCTTCTCACCCTGCCATGTGCCGCGCTCCTGCTCGAAGGCATCCCGCTGCTCCTGCCCGCGCCTCCGCTCCAGGGCCACCTCTGCACGCAGCCGCTCCAGCTGCCGCCGCAGCCCCGCGCTGCCCCGGGGCTCCTCACCAGGCTGGGGACACCCCTCACCGGGTGGTGGGCACCCCTCACCGGGTGGAGGGCACCTCGCATGGGCAGCTTCCCGCAGCCCTGCCAGCTCCTGCTCCAGCCGCCCGGCTTTGGCGCGGAAGAGGTCGGCCTCGCTCTTGCGGCGCTGCAGTTCGTTGGCACAGACCTCCAGCTCCAGCGCCTTGAGGCGGGCGGCCTCCTGCAGCCCCTGCGCCCGCCGCTCGCCTGCCTGCAGCTGCGCCCGCGCCTCCCGCAGCTGCACCCGCAGCCCCAGCAGCTCCGTGCTGCGCTGTGCCAGCTCTGCCTGCGCCTCCTTCAGCTGCTGCTTCAGCAGGGAGATCTCACCTGACTTCTGGCACACCTGCAGGGGGACAATGGGGCTCAGGTGCCGGCTGGGACCCCCACACCTGCACCCCTGACTTGCCCGGCACTGTCAGGCAGCTCACCTCCCACTTGGACTCCTCCAGCCGGGGTGCCAGCTCGGTGCGCTCACGCTGGAAGGAGGCACAGCGGCGCTCCAGCAGCTCCCGCTCCTGCAGCAGCTGGGCAAAGTCCTCCTGCAGCTGCTTCTTCTCCTGCTGCAGCTGCAGCACCTGGAGCTGCAGGACCTGCTGCCCCCGCTGCGCTGCCTGGGCCGCCTGCCGTGCCTGGGCCGCACAGCGCTGCCGGAGACCCTCTAGCTCCTGCTCACAGCGCCGCTGCTTCTCCTCGTACACCTGGGGTGGGGGATAAGGGACACACGCACGACACATTCAACTTCCGCCTGCTGCAGGATGGGCACCCCCCTCCCCATGGCACATGCCCCCAAAGGAAGGAGGGGTACAGGAAGGCTGCAATGTAGTGATGCCCGCCTCTTTGTGCTCTCCCACATCCCTCTGCATGCTGGCTCCCCCATGTCAGCACACCCAGAATCTATAGGGCTCCCTCAGCTCCACCACAAGCAGGGAGAAGCTGCAGGTCTCAGGCATATTCAAAAAGGGCGCTCCAAAATGGAGCATCCCAGTCTGTGCAACTGGTCCCCAGCAGCCCAGGGACTACGTAAGACTACCCAACATCAGGAAAAAGCCACTGACACACAGAAAAAAGCATCCTCATATAAGGGTCTGGAGAGGGTTCCCAAAGGGTGTCCCTGCCTTCCAACTAGGGGGGAAATTCACTCAGAGGAGGCGAACAGGGAGAGGACAGGGGGACACCAGAGGCATACCTGGCAGATGGCCACCTCATTCTCATCCAGGCTGTCACGCAGGAGCTGCAGCTCGGCCTCCCTCTCCCGCAGCTTGTCCTCCAGCTCCCGCACCAGCATGGCTTCCTCACCGGGCAGAGGTGAGCGCCCGCAGGAGCCGCTCTCGGAGGAGGGCCGGCCCCGGCCGCTCAGCGAGCCCGTGCTCTTGCTGGAGGATGAGCGCCCGCTGTCCGAGTTGGAGGGGCGGCAGCCTCCCGGCGGGTCGGGGGGACCATGGGGGGTGGGCGGCAGGGCTCCCACCTCGGGGTGCTGGCTGCAGCCCGTGCTGTAGGTGGGCAGGCTGGAGAGGGAGTTGCGCCCCGAGTCCGAGAGGGTGCTGGCGCGGCAGCTCAGGGAGCCAGGCTTCTCGGCACCCAGCAAGTGGGTGAGGCTCACCTGGCTCTCCGAGAGCCCAGGGCGCACCACTGTCTGGGCGCTCCGGAGCTTGGGCACCACCGGCTTGAAGGCCATGGGGCGGATCAGGGTCTTCTCCACGTTCTGCCAAGGAAGAGGGGAAGAGTGCAGGGGGGGGCTGGGGAACACCCATCACTCTCCCAAGGGGGTGCCGCAATGCCTTCCCACCCCAGACAAGGGCCAGATGCTGCCTGCTCCATCCCCCCTTCATGGGGTACTCAGGTGGGCTCCCACTCACACAACCCTTACATGAAAGAAGGAACATCATGGGCATGGGACCACCACCTGCCCAGAGACACTAAATAGGTAGCAACATGGCCCCAGTTAGCCAACAGCCCCAGTGTGGCATAGGGAGCAAAGCCACAACCCAGCACACATCCACCCACCCTGCTGCTCTCCCTTTCCTACCTCCTCCAGCTTGCCAGAGACAGGGACAAGCTTGGGGGGGGGGCCCCGGAGGTGACCACTTGGGGCTTGGTCATCGTGGGGCTCATCTGAGTCACTGCAGGGGCTGGTGGGAGACGGGACGTCGAGCCAGTCACCACAGAAGCCTCCATTGGCATAGGCATGGGTGACACCAGGCATGGCTGGGTGGGACTCTTCGGGAGATGGGGGGTCCCGCTGGGTGGCCCGGAGCAGCCCCTCCTGCTTGCGGAAGGAGGCGGTGGGAGGGTCCCCATTGCAGGGCTGGCTGGTGCAGTCGTGGCGGGGCCGGCCAGGCAGAAGGCTGCCGACGCTGCCCATGGTGGCAGGGGGCGAATGGGTGGCAGCACGGAGCTGTGCAGCCCCCTCATCGACGGCCTCGAGGGGCACCGGCAGTGTCTGCACGATGGCCATGACGCGGGGAGCCCCGGCGGGCAGGGGCACACGGGCAGCCTGCAGGCAAGGGAGAGAGGGCATCAGAGCTGTGAGCACTGCTGGACATGCCCCACTGGCTACCACCGTCCCCAGTCCCGTGGTTGCAGGCTGACCCGAGGAGGGGCTGGCAGAAGGAGATGCCAAATGAACCAGAATAAAACCAGGATTAGCCCAGGAGGGTGGCAGCAGCACCCCCAAGCTGGTAGCACCCCAGTGGAGCATCCTGGGGCTGTGGGGTGCTGGTGGCACCGTGACGCAGTGGCATGCAGTCGTCCTGCCCCCGCCGTGCCCTGGCATGACCCTGCTGCAGGAAGTGTGCCAGGGCTGGAGGCAATCCCAAGAGGCCCATGGACAGCCAGCTCCTGGGCAGCCTGCCCACCTGCTCCACGGCACTGCCTGCCCCACAGCACCCACCAGCACAGCCACCACAGAGAGTGGGGGCAGCCATACACACTGGGGACAGCCACTTCCCTGCCCCACAGCCCCCACCCCAATGCATGGGTGTCCCCTGTTCCCACCCCACACACTCCCCTCCAGCTCTGCCAGTGCCCCCATACCCCAACCCAGGCCATACGCCTGCGTGACAGGCGCCAGCCGATGGGCCGGATCCGTCCCCTGCTGCCTCATCGTATCGTGCACATGGCTGCGGCTGGCACGGGGTGTAGGCGGGGGGGCACTGCCCACAGAGCTGTCACCTGAAATCAATCTGCCTGCCAGTGCCCGGGGTGGGGACGACCACGGGAGAGACGCCGGCGAGCCAGAGCCCACCCCACCACCAGCACCCTTACCACAGCAGCATGCCCATGTCACCCCAGGGTGGGAAGGTGGGTGACCCCCACCCCGGCTCCGCTCACCTCGCCAGCTGCTGCCCATCCGTCCGGTCCACTCGGGTCCCCACACCAAGAACACAGCTCTACCGGCCGCTGAAGTGGGAAGGAGCAAGAGGAGGGGGTCAGGGTGCTGAAGGGCAGCGGGGGTCCCTGAGCCACACGCAGCCCCCCCCCGGCAGGAACAGGGGGAGCAGTGCCAGCGTGGCACGGAGGGTGGCAGGGGAGCCTGGCAGTGGGTGCGCTGCTCCAAGCACCCAGGGATTG